AGAAGTGTGTGGCGAGAGTGTCACAGCGCTGTGGAAGTTCTCAGGCACCCCGTGTTGCCTGGCATCAGAGACTTCTTTGATACGCATCTGAGTAAACCTTGAAGAAGGGTGAAAGTCTGACCAGGGTGGGGAGGAGGAAGCAGAATAGACAGCTGTAACTGCGCAGGTTCAGCGAATATTCAGGAAAAAGCATACAAATTTCTCAGGCTCAGAACCAGGGGCAGCAGGGGTAGAAGCTGAGCACCAAAGACAGGCCAGAAGGGGAGCACCTCTGCATCAGCCAGTGAAGTGAAGGCTTCCAGGCGCCTCGAAAATGAAAGAGGGCAAAGCTGAGGGAAGGGATCTTTGCAAGTCAAACCAAGGAGTTTGAATTTGAGAGCTAATGGAAAGGTGTTGAAGATGACCAGGGTGAAGGTGCTCAAAGCCACAAAGGGTAGTGCAGATGGGACCAGGGGTAGGAGTGGCCAAGCTGGAGCCCGCTGGAACTAGAAAGACACCAGGAAGGCCATACTGGTGGTGAAGGCCATGGAAAGAAGGATCAATAACTGATAAGGAGGGTCGCAGAGGGATCCAAGGAACAACTGATGGCCAGACATGGAAAGACAGCAAGGGGATTTAGGAAGGGGAGGATCTGAGTTCAGGTCTAGATGACTTGCATAGACTGGGCCAGCACGGTTCTTGGGAGGAGATATCCAACTAGACACTGGTAAAAAAAGGAGGGTCAGGCCACTGTGTCCTCTCGAATGACTGGCGCACCCTCACCCTGTAGGGAGTTCTGTCCTACCAGGCAGGCACTTTTGTAGCTAAGCTAAATCCCCAGCCCTGCAAAGCCCATTTCTTTTTTTTAAAACTTTTTACCAGTACCGGGGACCAAACTCACGACCGCCTGCTTGCAAGGCAGCCGCTTATGCCGCTGAGCTAAATCCCCAGCCCCCTCATTTCTTTTCATACCTTTTTTTTTTTTTTCCTCCCAGATCCACTTTATTCTTTTCATACATTTAAGAAAACTTTGCTACCATTTGTGCTTGTCTTGACCAATTGTTTGCTCGGGGCAGAAGGAACTTAGAAACTACCTCTGGATGAAGACTCCAGCACCCTAAAACCCCAGTGTAAAAAGAAAAGAAACTGTACCCTACTAAACACCTAAATGTTTTGCAATTTACACAAAATTCATTCTTTGGCCAAAAATTTTTGTTTTTGTTTTTTGTGACAGGGTCTCACCATGTAGTAGAGGCTGGCCTTGAATTCACTGTGTAGGCCAGGCTGGACTTGAACTGTGTCAATCCTCCTGCCTCAGCCTCCTGAGTGCTGGGGTCACAGGTGCGTACCACCATGCTTGGCTGGCCAACAGTTCTTGAAATGGGAAAAAAAACAAATGAGAGAGAGAGAGAGAAGAAGAAAAAAGACCAGCCAGGTGTGGTGACATATGCCTGTAATCCCTGCATTCTGCGAAAACTGAGGCAGGAGGATTGGGAGTTTGAGCCCAGCCTAGCAAGACTACTTCAAATAAAAAATTAAAAAGGGGCTGGGGATAAGCCCAGTGCAAAGGCTCTGGATTTAATGTTTAGTAAAAACAAACCAATAATCAAAAACAGCTGAGGACTAACAACAGTGATCTGAAAGTGTGAGTGTGATTACTAAAACGTCCACACTGTATTTCCATCCCTGTAACCTTCTGAAAATATCTTCTCACTTAGTCATGGGATCCCGAATAAACTTTGGTTTGCAAGGTCTTCTGGGGAGAGCCTCCCTGTGGGACCTTCCCTCCCCCACCATACAGTTTGCTTCTGTTTCACTTCACCTAACCTTGTCCTTTTCCTCCTCCTGAAGGGCACAATCTCCTGTCCCCTCGGAAGCCTTCCCGGGTGGCCGAAGTCAGCGCTAACTCCCATGTAGCCGTGTAGCCCGTCCCATCTTGGAGACGGGGAGGATCAGGCTAAGGCAGGTCCCGGTGCAGTCCAGGCCAGGTAGCGGCAGGGAGGAGCGCACAGCAGGTCGTGAAGATCAGAGCCAGGCAGCCTGGCTGAGGCAGAGTGCAGGGTGAGGCAGAGGCCAGCACGCAGCCGGAAACTCCGACCTGTAAATCCCAGTAGTAGCCTGGCAGATGATCAGATCTGCAGCTCTGAAAGGCTGATTCCAATCTATAGCCCAGAGGAGGCATGAATTGGAGGGGCTCCAAGGCGTACTTAGGAAGACCCTTTGGGCAGTGTTGACACCTGAGTATGAGCACAATCCCTGCCCTTTCACGCTTTTCCCTGTCCTGCTGTGAATGTAGATGTGTACTTAGATAGACTCTCACTGTTTAATCTGACTCATCTCCTTTGTAAACAGTATGGTTGGTTATTGAGGGTGGAAAGTTAGTTGGTTTTTTCTCCCCTATGCTCCAAATCCCTATGACACTTCGAACACAAAGGATGTTTAGAACATGACTGTATGTCATCTTTAAAATGTCACCCCAAACTAACCTTTATTAACATTATTTTTGTTTTTGTTTTGTTTTGTTTTTGAGACAGGGTCTAGTTTGGGCTGGCGATGAACTCACTATGTGGCCCAGGCTGGCCTTGAACTCACGAGATGATCTACCTGTCTCAGCCTCTCAAGGGCTGGGATTACAGGCGTGTGCCAACACACCCTTTTATTAACATTATTAAGTGATTAGTCTTTGCTGTTTGGTTCTGCTTTTGCTGTCTAACCCTTGGATGAGGATTAGATGATGCAGTGAAAAAATCTAGATGTCTGGGGCTGGGGATTTAGCTCAGCAGCATAAGCGCCTGCTTTGCAAACGCATGGTTGTGAGTTTGATCCCCAGTACCGATAAAAAAAAAAAAAAGAAAAAAGAAAAATCTAGAAGTCTAAGTTCTTCTTACTCAGCTGCATTGGTGTCACCTAGAAACCTGTTAGAAAGGAAAACTTCAGCCTCACCCCAGGCCCAGTGAGTCAGAACCTGCACTTTCGCATCATCCCCAGGGCTCCCCCATATTAAAGGTGACAGAGCACCTGGGTTCCTAAGCAGCTTCCCTCTGCACCTCTGCAGGATGTGGCGTCCCATCCCATCTGGCGCGGGAGTCTGTACCTACCATTCCTCTCTCCCTGCCAGGCTGCAAATTCCTGGAAAGCAGGGACTGAACACTAGGCATGGCTCTGGACCTCTCCCAGGGTCATCAGGCACAAGAAGCAGAAGCCCTGGGTTTCCATCCTGCTTGGGCCTCAGGAGCTGTAGGTGCTGGGCCTTTGGGGAGGGGCTCTCTGGAGATTTCCGCAGGGCCCCCACACTACCCTCTGAAAAGCTGAAGATGACTGTGCTTTCTGCCCACATGGTGTTAATGGCTTCCTCTCTGGGAGGAGGCAGTAATAGATGGAAGGGAGGAGATGTAACCAGGTTCAGAGGGGATGATGCCCAGCAGGGAGCATCAGTACCCCAAAGATGAGCCAAGGCAGCTGGAAACGCAGTGGCCTCTGCAGTCACCCTAGGAGACAGCAGTGATTCTGCTCCCATTTTTACAGGTGAGAAATGGCTTCATGACTTGTGCAGGCTCCCAGCAGTTCACAGGCTCCTGCCTGTCAGCCGGTAACAGAGTTCAGGCGGACTGGCCTCAGGCTGCTGGGAGGCCATGGACAATCAGAGACTGAGACCCTCATTAGCCCATTCAAGATGCTCACAAGGCTTTTTCAGAACTTTGTAGCTTTGCCTAAAGTTCTTCTCAGGGCACAAAGCAAGCTGACACCATCATCATGGGAGCTCCCTGCTCCCCTGAAGACTTCCCCTGAAGCTTGATGGGGCGAGGGGGGACCAGGCTCAGGATCCTCCAAGGAAGTGACGTGTGGGGCACTGCCGTAACCCTCACTCAGAATGCTTATGCTCTAGAGGGTCATCTTCCTGCCTAGAGGGACCCAGTCTCAAAGGGCCCCTGCAGACCCTTATGAACAGGAATAGCAGAGGGTCTGGGACAAAACCCAGAAGGGGTAGGGAAGATCGATTTCTGTAAGACAAACCAGGTGCCTGTTCTGCATGTCTGACTCAAGGGTGGGGGGAGATTTGTGCTGATCTGTTTTCTTTTTTGTCTTTTTGAGACAAGGTCTTACTATGCAGTTCTGGTTGGCCTTGAACTCACTTTGTAGTCCAGGCTGGTCTTGAATTTGCAAAGATCCTCCTGCCTCAGCTTCTCAAGTGCCGGGATTACAAGCCTGCGCCACCATGCCTGGCTTTTGTTTTCTTTTTAAAAAAACACAGTCTTGCTGTGTTGCCCAGGCTGTCCTCAAACTCCTGGGCTCAGATGATCTTCCTCCTTCAGTCCCGATAGTCGCCAGGACTAACTACCTCCACATGTGTGCCACTGCACCTGCTTTGTCTTTTTCTTTTTCTTTGGTGTTACTGTGGATTGAACCAAGGTGTTTCACACTGAACTGCATCCCCAGCTGTTTTTTATTTTTTATTTTGAGACGGAGGCTCACTAAGTCATTAAGTTGCCTGTTTGAACTTATGATTGTCCTGCCTCAGACTCCCAGAGTGCTGGAATTAACAGGCATGTGCCACCACGCCCAGCAGTTTTTCTTTGGTGGGGTGGGGTGGTTTCTTGAGACATTGTCTCACTATGTATTGGGCTCACTGCGGAGCCCAGGCTGGTCTCGAATTTGAGGCAATCTTCCTGCCTCAGCCTCTTGAGAGCTGGGATTACAGGATGTGTTACTTTATCCAGCTCGCAGCAGTATTTTAATTTTTCTTTCTTTGCTTTTTTATGGTGATAGGAATTAAACTAGAGCCTCCAGCATACCCTCAACACGGATTGGTTTTCGTTTTTGCTTTCTTCCCTGTTTTTTTTGCAGTGCTAGGAACTAAACCCAGGGCTCCATGCGTGCTAGGCAAGCACTCTGCTCCTGAACTACATCCCCTGCCCTCTGGTATTTTTCTATTCAGAAAAGACTGGGAGATTTGGATGAGAGGGAAGGAACTGAAAGCAAAAATCAGGCAGCTCTCTGTCAAAGAGGCGACACTTCAGAGC